CTGGATTGCTCCAGCCTCTCTGGGCAGCTTACAAAAGGATAGAAGAAAACATAACCCAACATAAAACGTTAAAAGCTTCCCGATACGGAGCTGCTTTTAGGCGTCTATGGAGGTCGTATAATGGTTTATCTCCTTGACATCTGGTGGGAGAGCGTTCCACAGGGCAGTCACGACAACCGAGAAGGCCCTCTGTAACCTCACTTCTCGCAATGAGGGAACTGCCAGAAGGCCCTGGGAGCTGGACCTTATGCTTTCATATAATCAGTTAGCCATATATCCTTATAATGATTTTTTTTATAATCCATGTTTGAATCATGAAGGCTTCTGCAAAGCTTAGGGCAAAATGCTTAGATTTGAAAAATCCAAAATGAACTCTGTCCCAGTTCTCTCCCCTTGTTCTTTTCAATGTCTCGCTAACATAAGGGGGGAAGCAATAAATCTGCTGTGCTGGCATTTTCCTCCTGTCCAGACAGGGTCCTGAACAGCTAAAAACAGGAAGATGCTAACCGCAAAGTGTCTCTGTTTGGCAGATGTTGCGTAGGAGAGCTTAACGGCTGAATACAGTTCCTTTCTCCTTTTTATTAGGGGAAAGGTCAGACTAATGTTCAGACTGAAGAAAGCAGAAGTTGGGAGGGAACTCTTTACATGATCAGGGGGCAAGGCTTGAATGCACTCATCGGTTCTATTTTTGCTGCCATGTGCGATTGTATTCGATTATGTCATGATCTATGATGTATGTACTCAGGTATAAAGCCTCAGGGCGCTAGAGCTATGACGCCCAGTCTCTGGAAACGATTCCACTGGGTCAATTATTGCTTAGCAATAAATATCACTTTCTTTTCTCCACTACTGCGTCTGTCAATTCTTGGACACAATTTGAGTGGGTCACAGGTACCTTAAAAATCCTTGCTACAAGGCGGCCCCTCGGAGCTAGACCTCAGTGTCCGGGCTGAACTATGGGGGTGGAGACGCTCCTCCCTTCTACTGGGCTGAGACCATTTAGGGCTTTCAAGGTCAGCACCAACACTTTGAATGGTGCTCGGAAACAGACCGGGAGCCAGTGAAGATTTCTTAGGACCTGTGTTCCAGCAGGGACCATGTTATGTACTGAGTTGAATAGGATCCAAACTGCAGCAGTCTGATTGGTCCTAGAACAAAAGGATCCAAAATGCAGCAGTCTGATTGGTCCTAGAACAATAGGATTCAGAATGCAGCAGTCTGATTGGTCCTAGAACAATGCAGCAGTATGATTGGTTGGCAGGAACCACCCAATCATTCTCCAGATAGAAGCGAATCCACAACCTGATTGTCTTAGAGTAGAATTCCGGAATTAGCCAATCATGTGCAGCCCATTGTGTAAATAATGTATATAAAGCAGATACTTTGAGGGGACATTCATTCATTCCTCCTCACTAACTATGAGCTGAATAAAGAGCATGAAATCACTTTGCGACTCTGAGTATATTTCAGACCAGCTATTAGGGGGCCCAAACTGAAAATATCCCTTGCCGGAAGTAATCCATAAACCTCCATCTTCTCGGGAAGCCATTGGTGCCCGATGCTCAAGAGAGGGAGAGGCATGAGTTGGGTGTGCTCGGCTTGCCAAGGGTTAAACGGAAACGAGCCAGATTCCTAGACAGGAAAGAAAGACGGAGAAGGCAGCGTCCTCCTGAGCGAAAGCCCAACCCCTCCCTTTCCTGCAAGAAGTCGGGCGTGTGGGGGTCCCGTTGGTTCGGCTCTGCAGAGGCTGCCTGGGGGCGCCTGCTGGGATCCGGTGAGTCTCCTCTCTCCCACCATAGGGCCCATGGGGAGAGCGGGGGTCCCAGCGCTGCATGGCGAGAGGGGGGCAAGTCAGGGCGGGGAGGGTCGCAGGAGGGCGGCAGCTCTGCTCTTCCTTTGCATGGATGCGCTGCTGGCCCCTTGGAGAGGGGTCTTGGGTCCAGGAGTGGGGAAATGCATGCAGAGAAACCCCATTCAGATGTATGGTTGTTGTTTACTCGTTTAGTCATGTCCGACTCTTTGTGACCCCCTGGACCAGAGCACGCCAGGCACTTCTGTCTTCCACTGCCTTATCTCCTCCTGGCTCCTGAGTATTATTGGCCATACCTAGGAGTCCCTTAGGAGTCCTAAGGGACGCGGGTGGTGCTGTGGGTTAAACCACTGAGCCTAGGACTTGCCGATCAGAAGGTTGGCGGTTCGAAGCCCCACCATGGGGTGAGCTCCCATTGCTCAGTCCCTGCTCCTGCCAACCTAGCAGTTTGAAAGCACTTCAAAGTGCAAGTAGATAAATAGGTACCGCTCCGGCGGGAAGGTAATCGCCGTTTCCGTGCGCTGCTCTGGTTCGCCAGAAGCGGCTTAGTCATGCTGGCCACATGACCCGGAAGCTGTACGCCGGCTCCCTCGGCCAATAAACCCTCGACCCTCCTGCTGCCGCCGCGCCTCCAGACCATGATTTCTGTTCTCATCCTGAAGCAAAGTTCTTAACCTGAGGTACTATTTCTGGGTTAGCGGAGTCTGTAACCTGAAGTGTCTGTAACCTGAAGCGTATCTAACCCGAGGTTCCACTGTATACAACATTTGGTGCTGTGACTCGGATAAATTGAGGCTTTCTTTGAACCCACCCAGCTGTGGGTGCCTCAACTGAGGGAGCAGTGCCCCCCAGCTCTCTGTGTGTCTCAGGCAAGGGGGGGCTCCTCTGTGTGTTTTTCTCGCAGTTAAATTGCACTTTTTGGGGGGGGGCTTTCTTTTTGTGTGTTTTGCATTGACGCTTGTGTCTCCAGCTCAGTCAGGGGAGCTGGGCTGGAGGGCCAGTGCTCTCTCTCCCTCTCCCTCTGCGTTTGTGGACCCCCCCCTCCCCGGCAGCAGTGGACTGCCAGCTGTGGGTGACTCAACCAGGCAGCAGCAGGCTCCCAGCTCTGTACTGTCTATGTACTGTCTCAAGCTCAGCCAAGAGCTTTGTGAGGAAGGGGGTCCATTAGCTAAAGTGGTGCTTCAGGTTAAGAACAGTTTCAGGTTAAGAATGGACCTCCGGAATGAATTAAGTTCTTAATCCGAGGTACCACTGTACCTCCAAAGGCTATAAAAACTCCTATTAAAGGTAAAGGCACCCCTGACCATTAGGTCCAGTCACTGGCGACTCTGGGGTTGCGGCGCTCATCTCACTTTGTGTTTTGCTTGAAGGCTTTTGAAACGTGACAAAACACCCTGGATGTTCGGAGCAGTTTGCATACGCAGACTCTTGGGTAGCACTCCTCAGAGAGAGCCCTACATAAGTTCAAAGGACAGTATTGCACCTCGCTGAGGATGCAGTGGGCACTGAAGGAGGCAGAAGTAATCAAACCCCAAAAGAAAGAGCACTTTTCCAGAGGAGAGGCGAAAATCAAAGAACTGACCTGGCCCCCAACAGCTCCCATATCTGCCTTTAATTGGCCAGACCTAGGAGTTTTGATAGCCTTTGGGGGCCTACAACACCCGGACTCCGAGCCTTCTTCCCTTGGGTGTCCCCCAGCTGGTGCCTCCCCCCCCTTTCACCCAGCCAGTCCATGACAGCAAAAGCAGCAACAACAGTAAAATCAGTACAATAATAATATGCACACTGGTCCTCTGGCAGGAAGAATAATAACTTCTGGGACTATGGGAAAGGACTATTTTCCCCAAACCCCAGAATAAGCAGGAGCTATGGGATTGCCCCATGGGGTTCGTAAGGGAAGATGGGCCCCCCCTGGAGACTTCCCTGGTACCTGCAGCCCCTCCTTCCCCCTCTTGCAATAAAGCTTGGGGGAAATCTCCCATTAAATTACAGTATTTAAAGTTTTCTTCAGAACATGTAGGAGGCAAGGAGAAGTTCTGGTGAAGAAGCAGTGTTTGGAGATCATGCGGTGGTTGGGGTGAGAGAGTTTGGTGCAAAAACCAGTCACACACATATGCACCCGTCTTCCATGCTTGAGTAGAGCAACTCCAGGGCATAAGCCAAGTATCGGCAGGGTAGGGGCCACGTGTAAAGCAATTCCCATGCTGACGTCAAAAACACACACAGAGGCAGCAGGACTTCTTCAGTAATAGTTTACTGAGCTTTCCAAGCATGCAGTTCTCACTGGGTCTCCAGTGAGGCACAAAACCTAGCTCCTGAGAGCAAATCCAGTTTCAGCAGTAAAAAAAATACAGCACACAGGATATCTAGATCAGGTACACACACCGGCAGAAGGGAGCAAGGGAGGAAAGAGGCTGGAAGGACACAGGGCAATGGATGTGTGTCTTTCGCTTCCTGTCGTCTGGGAGGGAAGTCAGGAACTTGGCATATGCAGGGACTTCACGAAGCAAAGCTTTCTGCCGCTTATCATGATGTGGTCAAGAAACCAGTAATGGACAATATATTGCCCAGCCCTCACTGACCACCAAGTAATCCAGATAAACCCTATTCCCTTTTCTATCGAAAGGTATATTACATCTTAGATTATAATCACATTGTTTGACATTGCCTTCAATATTTCATTACTATACAGTTTTACACATAAATACCAGAACTTCACATACACAACATGTGTTAAAGACTGATTTCTTCCTGAGTTCATTTCTGTGAAGAAAAGAGTGGACACTGAAAGGAAAACGCCCCGTTCTCCATACATCTAAATGGGTTCTTTCATGCGAGAGTCTCTGGATGTTCCTTAAACAATCCATTGTAAATAAAGCACTTTTTGCAATCTTTTCATTTAAACTGCTTCTCCTCGTTGAGTTTGTTGATGGTTTAAAGGGTTTCAAGTACTAAAGTTCTTTCTGTCCGTGAGTCTGTTGATTTAGAACTTCCATTAGGACTGAACCTCTGTCTACTTTCCTGATATTTATAAGGTTTGGCTTTTGTTTGAGTTTGTTGACATAAATCAAGGGTTCCACTCTGACTGGAGCTCCTTCCACAGTCCATACATTTAAACAGTTTCTCCCCTGTGTTTCTGCTGATGTTTTCTAAGGTGTCCATTCTGCCTGAAGCTCTTTCCGCACTCCATGCATGTAAATGGTTTCTCCCCTGCGTGAGTCTGTTGATGTCTTCTAAGTTTTCCATTATCACTAAAGCTCTTTCCGCACTCCATACATGTAAATGGTTTCTCCCCTGTGTGAGTCTGTTTATGTATATTGAGGTGTCCACTCTGACTGAAGCTCTTGCCACACTCCATACATTTATATGGTTTCTCCCCTGCGTGAGTCCGTTGATGTGTTCTAAGTCTTCCATTCTCAGTGAAGCACTTTCCACACTCCATACATTTAAATGGTTTCTCCCCAGTGTGAGTCCGTTGATGTGTTCTAAGGCTTCCATTCTCACTGAAGCACTTTCCACACTCCATACATTTAAATGGTTTCTCCCCTGTGTGAGTCCGTTGATGTGTTCTAAGGCTTCCATTCTCACTGAAGCACTTTCCACACACCATACATTTAAATGGTTTCTCCCCTGTGTGAGTCCGTTGATGTGTTCTAAGGCTTCCATTCTCACTGAAGCACTTTCCGCACTCCATACATGAAAATGGTTTCTCCCCTGTGTGAGTCTGTTGATGCCTTCTAAGGTTTCCATTATCACTAAAGCTCTTTCCACACTGCATACATTTAAATGGTTTCTCTCCTGTGTGTGTCTGTTTATGTATATTGAGGTGTCCACTCCGACTGAAACTCTTTCCACATTCCATACATTTAAATGGTTTCTCCCCTGTGTGAGTCCGTTGATGTTTTCTAAGATTTCCATTATCACTAAAGCTCTTTCCGCACTCCATACATTTAAATGGTTTCTCCCCTGTGTGAGTCCGTTGATGTGTTCTAAGGGTTGGATTGAAACTGAAGCTCTTTCCGCACTCCAGGCATTTAAATGGTTTCTCCCCTGTGTGAGTCCGTAGATGTTTTCTAAGTTGTCCATTATCACTAAAGCTCTTTCCACACTCCATACATTTAAATGGTTTCTCCCCTGTGTGAGTCTGTTTATGTATATTGAGGTGTCCACTCTGACTGAAGCTCTTTCCACACTCCATACATTTAAATGGTTTCTCCCCTGTGTGAGTCCGTTGATGTATATTGAGGTGTCCACTCAGACTGAAACTTTTTCCACATTCCATACATTTATATGGTTTCTCCCCTGTGTGAGTCCGTTGATGTTTTGTAAGTTGTCCATTATCACTAAAGCTCTTTCCGCACTCCATACATTTATGTGGTTTTTCCCCTGTGTGAATCCGTTGATGTGTTCTAAGGTGTGCATTGAAACAGAAGCTCTTTCCACACTCCATACATTTAAATGGTTTCTCCCCTGTGTGAGTCCGTTGATGTTTTCTAAGTTTTCCATTATCACTAAAGCTTTTCCCACACTTCATACATTTATATGGTTTCTCCTCTGTGTGAGTCCGTTGATGTGTACTGAGGTGTCCACTCTGACTGAAGCTCTTTCCACACTCCATACATTTAAATGGTTTCTCCCCTGTGTGAGTCCGTTGATGTTTTCTAAGTTTTCCATTATCACTAAAGCTTTTTCCACACTCCATACATTTATATGGTTTCTCCTCTGTGTGAGTCCGTTGATGAATATTGAGGTGTCCACTCTGACTGAAGCTCTTTCCACACTCCATACATTTATATGGTTTCTCCCCTGTGTGAATCCGTTGATGTATATTGAGGTGTCCACTCTGACTGAAGCTCTTTCCACACTCCATACATTTATATGGTTTCTCCCCTGTGCTATTCTGTTGATGTCTTCTAAGTTTTCCATTATTGCTAACGCTCTTTCTGCACTCCATAACTTTAAATGGTACCCCCCCTGTTGGAGGTCGTTGATGTGAACTATGTGTGCTCATTCAATGAAAATATTCCACATTTTAATTTCTTTTCCTAATGAAATGAAAGGTGCACCATTCCCTGGAGTTTTGACTGTCTTCTCCATCCCCTTCTTCAGAGTGGGAGGAAAGGAAATCCTGTTGGGTTTCAAGGAAGAGAAGTAAGGGAAAGACAACACATCAACCTCCATTAGCACATTCTCCTATTTTAACGTCTCCTACACTCTGTGTAGGAGTGCCACAGGGTTCTGTCTTGGACCCGGTCTTATTCAACATCTTTATCAACGACTTGGATGATGGACTCAAGGGCATCCTGATCAAATTTGCAGATGACACCAAACTGGGAGGGGTGGCTAACACCCCAGAGGACAGGATCACACTTCAAAACGACCTTGACAGATTAGAAAACTGGGCCAAAACAAACAAGATGAATTTTAACAGGGAGAAATGTAAAGTATTGCACTTGGGCAAAAAAAATGAGAGGCACAAATACAAGATGGGTGACACCTGGCTTGAGAGCAGTACATGTGAAAAGGATCTAGGAGTCTTGGTTGACCACAAACTTGACATGAGCCAACAGTGTGACGCGGCAGCTAAAAAAGCCAATGCAATTCTGGGCCTCATCAATAGGAGTATAGCATCTAGATCAAGGGAAGTAATAGTGCCACTGTATTCTGCTCTGGTCAGACCTCACCTGGAGTACTGTGTCCAGTTCTGGGCACCACAGTTCAAGAAGGACACTGACAAACTGGAACGTGTCCAGAGGAGGGCAACCAAAATGGTCAAAGGCCTGGAAACGATGCCTTATGAGGAACGGCTAAGGGAGCTGGGCATGTTTAGCCTGGAGAAGAGGAGGTTAAGGGGTGATATGATAGCCATGTTCAAATATATAAAAGGATGTCACATAGAAGAGGGAGAAAGGTTGTTTTCTGCTGCTCCAGAGAAGCGGACACGGAGCAATGGAGCCAAACTACAAGAAAGAAGATTCCACCTAAACATTAGGAAGAACTTCCTGACAGTAAGAGCTGTTCGACAGTGGAATTTGCTGCCAAGGAGTGTGGTGGAGTCTCCTTCTTTGGAGGTCTTTAAGCAGAGCCTTGACAACCATATGTCAGGAGTGCTCTGATGGTGTTTCCTGCTTGGCAGGGGGTTGGACTCGATGGCCCTTGTGGTCTCTTCCAACTCTATGATTCTATGATTTACTCCCTCATCTCCTACCCATGTTCCCAATTTTTAGGAAATGAAGTTGCCATGTCAAATGATAGTAATTCATGAGCAACTTTCAAAATCCTCAATCAATGTTCATAAAGCAGCACAATTTTTTAAAGAATGATGTGCTTTCTGATCTCGTGCCCATCCTCTGACACAGGACTATCCTAAAATGACACTGAAAAGCAGGATATTCAAGGCAAATAGATAAACTGTCGTTAGTGGAATGTGTAGTACCTTGAAAATGTTGTATTGATTCACTAATGGCCTGAAGTTGTGTTATTTCTGGGGACATGAATTTATTCTTGTTCTGTCTTAAAGATCATAATCATATGATGTCATGGGGTGTTAGGTGAGCGGTAGTACCTTTGGTGGGGGAAATGTCATGCACCTTATGGGGTAATTTATCCACCACTGGTCTCCACCCTGCACTCAGCTCTCACCTTTGGCTTCTGGAAGCTGTCAGCATGCAACAGGGACCACAATCCCAGGAACGGCTTCAACCGGCCTGCTAAACCAGGTGAGGATAGCTGCTGGGTCTCAAATTCTTGGTGGGTTGGGGAATTCTGCTGCGGGTGATGGCAGGCTCTGGTGGATGGAAAGGATGAGAACAACAGTGATTCCCACAGTCAAGAAGGCAGATTGTGCCCATTCTGCAGAGGAAAGTCAGGGAAGATGGGGCTCGTCAACCGGGGAAGGAAGCCCATCGCGAAGGAAATCTCTGGTTGTAATACTTTGATGCACTCCCTCACTTCCTCTTTTTAAAGTTTATTTATTTATTTATACATACAACAAGAAAAGAACACACACAAAAAAGCACAAATACCAAATTACACACAAATTACAAAAATAACCATAGACACATAATTTTCTTGGCAAACAATAAAACATCTATTGGTCTTAACACTAAAGACCCAACTTCCCGTCTATTCCATATTTAAAATTCATATTAAGTATTGCCAATACACACATTTTTTTCATAATTAAACTTATTCTCAATAAATCTAATTTCTTCTATCTACCTAGCAACTATCACTGAAGTTCCTCGAATGCTGCAACAGAATTTAAACTACTATATTTATTTTTCAGGTATTCTTTGAAAACCTCCCATTTAGAAACAAATTCCTGTTTTGATTTATTGTTTATTTTTTCTGATAAACCATCTAATTCGGCATATTCTGTCAGCTTGTGGATCCAATCTTGTATAGAGGGAATTTCATTACTCTTCCATTTTGCTGCGATCAAAACTCTTGCTGCCGCCGTCGCATATAAAAAGATACCCTTCCTCTTTTGTGGAATATCCAGATCTGTTATTCCCAGGAGGTAGGCCTCTGGTTTTTTATTGAAAGAGATCTTTAGCATTTTTTGCAGTTCTGCATGTATACTCTCCCAGAATACCTGTATTTTCCTACTGTGATGGGATGATGAGCTGCTTGTGCGTAAAATGCAAGTCCCTCAGAGTTTGATCAGGCTTTCAAACCTCTGCCTGTGACGGAGCCCCTCCAGCATGGCTGCGTCAATCGCTAGCAGAATCCGAAAGTGGTTGTTTTCGGAAACGTTTCCAACATAAAAGCTCTTTCACGGAAACACGTCTTCTGGACTCTCTGCGTGACAGTTTCCGGCGAGGAGTGGGTGTCCCTATAGGAGGTCCTGAGACCTCTCCACTGTTTTCGCTGGAAACGTCTCTGAGCCATCCCTCCGACTCACTTTCCCTGGAAGTTCCTGCTCGCCCCCTACTGGTTCCCTCTTCAGCTGCTACGTCTCTTTCAACCTCAGGGAGCCTTTGCACCTCCTGTCCTTCCGATGGCAGTTCCCTGACATCCACCTCCCCTCCAGGGCCCCCTTCACCCCCTCCCGTCTCCTCCCCTCCGGGCTGGGAGGAAGTAAAACCCCTGAAAGAACCTTCATCATCGTCCGAAGTTTCGAACACTCCCCTCCACCTGCTACTGTCCCTCGTCTCTCGATACTCCTCATCATCGGAGTCTATCCCCTCTTCCAAATCCGACTCCGTGAATCCTTCCATTTCCTGTTCCTCGTTGGTGGTGCCGAAGTACTCCCTCCTAAACCTTTCTACCGGCTGTGGTTTCCTAGGGAATCTTCGGTGGAACGTTTCTGTTAAAACCTCGTCATTGACCTCCCCTGCAGTCACCCAGGTGTTTTCTGACTCCGGTTCCCCTTCCCACGCCACCAAATACTCTACCTGGTTTCCCTTCCACCTGGAATCGAGGATTTCCGCCACATGGTTGCTGCGTTCCCTTTCTTCCAAGGCTGGCCCCCTGGCGTGTTCCCCTTCACGTCCCCCCCTGTATGGTGACAGTAACGACCTGTGGAACACTGGGTGCAATTTCATGTGGTTGGGTAACCGGAGTTTGAAAGCCACTGGGTTGACCTTCTGAATGACCTCAAAGGGTCCCAATCTTTTGGGCCTCAATTTCTTACAGCCCCCTTTGAACGGCAACCCTTGGGTTGACAGCCACACCTGATCACCCACCCTTATGGTTTCACCTTCCCTCCTGTTCTTGTCTGCCTGCTTCTTATATTGTGCCTTGGCCCTTTCTAAGTTGAGCTGGAGCTGATGATGGATCGCTTCCATCTCTTCTACAAAATGCTCGGCCGCTGGGACGCTCCATCTCTCCCCTCCCTCCCCTGGAAAAGCCCTGGGGTGACACCCGTAATTAGCCAAAAAGGGACTCATCCCTGTGGACACATTCTCCGCATTATTGTAGGCAAATTCTGCCAGCGCCAACTTTTCGACCCAATCGTTCTCTCTGTCATTGACATAACACCTCAGATATTGTTGGAGTATGCCATTTGCTCTTTCCGCCTGCCCGTTGGTTTCTGGGTGCCGGGCAGTCGAAAAATTGACTTCCACGTGCAGCAAGCTCATGAGCTTCCTCCAGAACCTGGAAGTAAATTGTTTGCCGCGGTCTGAGATCACCCTCAAGGGGGCGCCGTGCAACCTAAAGATGTGTTCTACAAACAACTTCGCTGTTTCTTCCGCTGTGACTGCATGTGAGCATGCCACAAAGTGGCACATCTTAGTTAACAGGTCTACTACTACCATGATGGCTGTTTTCCCCTTGGATTTCGGCAGATCCGTCATAAAATCTATTGATACCGCTTCCCAAGGCCGTTCTGGTGTGGGTAATGGTTCTAATAACCCTGCCGGTGCCCTTCTTTCCCCTTTGGCTCGCTGACATTGGTCACACCCTCTTACATACTCCTTTACATCTTCCCTCACCTTGGGCCACCAAAATTCCCTGGTCACCAACCACATGGTCTTGTGTTGCCCAAAATGTCCCGCCGTGGGGCTATCGTGCAACTGCTTGAGTATCCTACCCCTCAATTCACCTTCGGGTATATACAGTGCCCCTTTGTAATACAATGCCCCATTTCTTTCCTCAAAACCTCCGGGGCTCTCGCCCTCCCCCCTGAGACCTCTGAGCTTATCCTGGGCATATTCATCATTTTCCGTTTCCTCTACCAGTTCACGTTGCCCCACCATCACCGCCCCACACACCCAGCGGTCCTCAGGGATGACATGTCTCTCTTCGATTGCCCCCTCCCCCTCCAAATACTCTGGTTTGCGTGAGAGGGCATCCGCCCTGACGTTTTCTGGGCCTGGCACATAACAAATTTCAAAGTGGAATTTGGAAAATTCCTGGGCCCATCTGACTTGTCGTTGGTTGAGTACTCGAGCTGTTCTCCAATACTCTAAATTCTTGTGGTCGGTGCACACTTGCACCTTGTGTTGTGCCCCAATCAATAAATGTCTCCACCTCCGGAACGCTTCGTGGATGGCGAGTAGTTCCCTGTCATACACCGTGTAGTTCCTCTCGGATTTATTCAGCTTCCTCGAGAAGAAGGCACAAGGTCTCCACTCCGACGTACTCCTCCCCGGTTGAAGAAGTACTGCCCCGATAGCCCGGTCGGACGCATCGGTTTCCACTCTCATGGGTTTTCGTAAGTCCACATGCAGAAGTTGTTCTTCCGAGGCGAAAGCCCTTTTTAGTTCTTCAAATGCTCGCTCCGCCTCCGCCGTCCAAACAAATTTCTTCTTGCTGCTGAGGCAGTCGGTGATGGGCGCCGTCAAATGTGCAAAGTTCTTGATGAACTTCCTATAAAAGTTCCCAAACCCCAGGAATCTTTGCACATCCTTCTTGGTCTTCGGTGTTTTCCATTCCAGTACCGCTTGGACCTTGCCTGGGTCCATGGCCAATCCCTTGTCTGACAAGCGGTACCCCAGGAATTCCACCTCCTTGGTATGAAACTGGCACTTCTCCAGTTTCACCCACAGCTGGTTGGCTTGCAGCTTGCCCAACACTTCTCGAACGTCCTTCACGTGCTGCTCCTCATCCTCCGAATACACCAACACGTCGTCTAAAAAGGCCACACAATTCTTGTAGAGCAAAGGCCCCAGGACGTGGTTCATAAAAGCTTGAAAGCACGCCGAGCCTGCTTGTAGACCGAAGGGCATAACGAGGTATTCAAAGGCCCCCAAAGGGGTGAACATGGTGGTCTTCCATTCATCCCCCTTCCTTATGCGTATCAGATTGTACGCCCCCCGCAGGTCCAGCTTTGTAAAAATTTTCCCCTTCCTCACCCGGGTCAAAAGGTCATCAATTCGGGGCATCGGAAAAGCCAGGGGTTCCGACACTGCATTGAGGGCCCTGAAGTCCACTACCAATCTCGGCCTATCTGCGTTTTTTTTGTCCACAAAAAACACTGGGCTGCCCCCCACCGCTCGTGACTCTCTGATGAAACCTCGCTTCAGGTTCTTGTCAATGAACTCCCTCAACTCCTGCATCTCCCTGTCAGACATGGCGTACAGCTTGCCCACTGGGAGTTGAGCCCCAGGGAGTAGGTTGATTTGACAGTCAAAGGGTCTATGCGGCGGCAGCGTGTCTGCTTCCCTTTCGCTGAATACGTTGCTCAGATCTGCGTATTGCGGGGGCACCTTCCCTTTATCCATTACTTCCATCCCGGCTAGGGTGACTCCGGCTCCTCCCGGAACCTTCCCCTGCTTGCAGTGTTCTAGGCAATACGCTGACCCAAATGAGACCACCCTCTGATGCCAGCCCACTAGCGGGTCATGTAGCGCCAGCCAGCTCATCCCCAAAATGATGGGAGCTCCTCCCAATGTGGCCACATTAAACGCTATTGGTTCAGTGTGCCTTGCCACCCTCATTATCATTGGGACAGTCTGTTGGCTAACTTCTCCTCCCAGCAGCTCTCTGCCGTCAATCGTGGTCACCTGCAAGGGGTTACTTAAAGGGATGGTCTGTATCTGGTGCTCAGCTGCAAACTCCTTACTCATAAAATTACAGGAGCTGCCTGAATCCAAAAGCGCCTTGATCTGTAGTGGGTGTCCATTTGGCAGCTCTAGTGACACTTCTATCACTAAAGCAGGTCTGGGTGGTTCTGGCGTGGGCACTTTCACTGCTCTTTGGCCTGGCTGCTGTGCCCCGACGGTGGCAGCCAGGCGTTGGCTTTTACTTGCTTTCCTCCTCCCTTTCCCCAACAGCTCCTGCCATCCCTTGCCATTCCTTTCTTTGTGGGCAGACTCTGGCAAAGTGCCCTGGCTGTTG